AAAAGGCAATCAACAAATACAAAAGAAAAATGAATTTAAATGTTTTATTACCAAAAAAATCAACTAAACACAAAAAAAATGACAGTAAAGCAGGAAAGGACCAAAAGCCCTATAATGTAAGAATATGGAAAACAAACCACAGAACTCAATCTTTATCAGTAATGTAAATGAATTAACTCCAATCAAAAGACAGATTGGCAGAATGAATAAAAATACATGATCCAACTGTACGTTTCACAAGAGTCTCACTTTATATGCAGACACACTTTCACTGAAAGTGAAAGGATGGAAAAAGATGTTCTATGCAAATAGTAAACCAGAGAGAACAAGGTTAAGTATACTATAAGAAAAAAGCAATCAAAAAATGAGAAAGAGCTTTATACATTAGTAAAAAAGTTGAATACAGCAGATATGACAAGAAAAAACACTTATGCACCTAATAAGACCATGAAAATGTAAAAGGCAAAAGTTGACAGAACTGAAAGGAGAAACAGTTCTACAGTAACAGTTGGCAACTTCAATAACTTGTTTTCAATAATAGATTAAGCAATCTGTTGGAAGACAAGGAATTAGTTGACTCAGTTAACCTGAACAGGTCTAATAGATGTACACAGAAACAACAATTTTCTCAACAACTTCGTACACATTCTTTGCAAATGCATAAAGAACATTTTCCAGGACATAGAATATGTTAAATTACAAACTAAGTCTCAACAGATTTTAAAAGATACACAGCAGGATGAAGCTAGAAAGAAAACTGGACAACTGACAAATCTTCAGAAATTAAACACATTCTTAAACAACCAAAAAAGAGAGCACAGGGGAAAATTAGAAAATTAAGAGAAATGAAAAGAATAATATACTAAAACATTTGGCATACCAGTGCTAAGGGGGAGAATATACTAAAACATTTGACATACAGTGAAAGCAGTGCTAAGGGGGAGAGGGTTATAGCAATAAATATTTACATTCTAAAACAAGGTCAAAAATCTCCTTTACAACATAATGAACTGTAAAAGGAATAAACTAAACCTAAAGCCAGTAGAATAGAGAAAGTAACAGATGATTAGAACAGGGAGAAACAAAATTGAGAACCGAAAAGCAATAGAGAAATATCAATGAAAGCAGAAGTCAGTTCTTTGAAAAGATCAACAAAATTGACACATCTTTGGCTAAGCTAAGAAGACTCAAATCACTAAAACAGAATGAAAAGTGGGGACATTACTACTAATTCTGCAGAATAAAGACAGTAGTAAGAACACTTGTATGTCAAAAAAATTGAATAACCTAGATTAAATGGATAAATTCCTAGAAATATAAAACCCACTATAACAAATTACAATGAAACAGAAAATCTGAATACTTATAATTAGTAAGAAGATTGAATTAGCAATCAAAAATCTTCCAAGAAAGAAAAGCCCCAGATCTGATGTTTCACTGGTAAATTGTACCAAACTTAAAAGAACTGAAATAAACCCAGTCCTTTTCAAACTTCTCCAAAAAATTGAAGGGGACACTTCCTAATTCATTCTGTCAGCAACCTCAATAACAAAGATAAAAGACACTACTGTAGAAAAAGAAACCTGTAGACCAAAACTGCTTATAAATGGTGATGTAAAAATCCTCAACAAAAGACCAGCAGATTGAATTTCACAGTATTACAGGGATTATTTATATACCATGATCAAGTGGGATTTACTCCTGAATGCAAGAATGGTTCAACATAGAAATTCAAATCAATTCAAAGAAATTCAAATCAATACCACATTAACAGAATGGAAGAAAAAAACCCACGACTATCTACACATATGCAGAAAAAAAAAATGACAACACGTAACAGCTTTTCATGATAAAAACACACAACTACAAACAGAAGAAAAATTATCTCAATGTAATAAAAGCCATACACGAAAAACCCACAGCAAACATCAAACTCAATGTGAAAGAAAGCTTTTTCTCTAATATCAAGAGTAAGGCAAGGATGATGTTTTCTCCAAAACTAACGTAGTACTTGAAGCTCCAAACAAGGGAATTGGAAAGAAAACATCCAAATTAAAAAGGAAGAAGTAAAATGACCTGTTCCCACATATGATCATGTATCAAGAAAACCCCAAAGGTATCTCTCTCTCTTGCCTCTCTCTCCCTGTCCCTCAGACACACACACATACACACACACTCCTGTTGAAACTAATAGGAAAGAAGGAGGATACAAAGTCAAAAAGTAAGTTACATCAACAATTAAAAATCTCAGAAGAAAACAATTCCATATATAATAGCACTATAAATAATAAAATACCCAGGAATTAAATTAACCAAAAAAGTAAAAGACTTGCACAATGAAAACTACAAAACACTGCTTAAAGAAACTGAAAGTCTAAAATAAATGGAAATACACACCCCATTTTCATAGACTGCAAGACTTAATACTGATAAAATTTCAAGGCTATACAAAGTGATTTACAAAGTCAATGCAACCCCTACTAAAGTCCCAATAAAATTCTATGAGGATCGCTTCTTGGCCTTTTGGCTAAGATCAAGTGTAAAATTCTATGAGGAAATAGAAAACCCAATCTAAAATTCATAGGGAATTTCAAGGGACTTGAAATACCTATAACAATCTTGAATAAGAATAAAGTGAAGTAAACGAATTGTATACCTAAAATGTACCAATAAAAGAACTAAAAAAAAAAAAAAGAATAAAGTGAGAACACTTACACTTCCTGATTTCAAAATCTTCTATAAACTACACTAATCATTACTGGCAAAAAGGCAACACATGGACATACAGACTATGTGAGCCTTCCACACATAATCCTGACAAAAATGCCAAGATCATCCAATGGTGAAAAGACAATCTTTCTAACCACTGGTGCTGGGGAAACTGAAAATCCACAGTCAAAAGAATAAAGCTAGACTTTTGTCTAACACAAAATACAAAAATGGATCAAAGAACTCAATGACTTTTTTTCCCCCCAAGACAGGGTGTCTCACCATATAGTTCAAGCTGGCCTCAAACTTGGCAGCGATCTTCCTACCTCGGCCTCCCCAGTGCTAGGATTACAGGCATGCGCCATCACGTCTAGCCACTCCACATGACTTAAAAACTAGCTCTTGGGCTGGGGATTTAGCTCAGTGGTTCTGCTGCCTGCCTCGCAAGGACAAGGTCCTGAGTTTGAACCCCAGTACCAAAAAAAAAAATAGCTCTTAATGTTCTATAAATAACATAGTGGTGATGGGCTGAATAACACTGTGAATATACTAAAAGGCATTAATTTAACTCTGGATTCACAATGTCAACTAATGAATTTTGCCTCAATTTTGAAAAATTTTTACAATGTTGGAAAGTGGTTAAGATTCCAGTTAGAACACTAATTCAGTGGTTCAGACTTGTGTCTCAACCATTTTCAAAAGAAATTAGGAAATACACAATTATATAGAACACAGTACAATTTTTGAGATTTTAAGATCATAAAAATTTCTTTAAAATATGCCCCAAATGTAAATGGTTATCTCTGGGTGACTTCTTTGTTTATATTTTTCTGTTGTCTAAATTTTCCACAAACAGGGTATTTTATTTTTAAATTAATAGAATACAATTAACCTTAATAAAGAATATTAAAATAGCTATAACAATCTACTCCATAATCAAGCTATTCAGACTTTCAAACTCAAAGTAATACCATATATGCTTCCAGTTATTTTATTAAAACTGGTATAAGCTGAAGCTCTTTTAACACTACTTCCTTAACACATCTTTAAAAAAAAAACAACTATCACAAAGTTGAATAGAAAAGACATACCTTTTGTAAACTTTCATCATACACAGGCATAAACAATGACAGTATGGTTTGTATCATTTAAAAATGATAAAAATGATTTATCATATACTTTTTCTTCTGCAACTTACTTTTCTACTTGGCATGTATTATCAAGACCTATCTACTTTTATACATATTATCTTTATAATTAAAAATTTTGTTGATTAAAAGCCATTAAACAATTCCAATCGTTAAGGTTTTTCTTCCCTCAGCTACACACAAAAAATGGAGAGTTTTAAAAACAGTTTTTGATGACTATAGCAGCACTGGCAACATCCTACTGCTTGCCCTCGTATTTGTCTTTATAGGTGCTTCTTTCTTCTAAGAGAAGAGGAGGATCAGGATCAGGAGACTGTCTCTATTTATCATACTGTAACACTCTACTGAAATTTCAGGCCACAGCAAAAATATTCACTAGCCAAGTAGTTTTAAACAATATTAAATGAATTATCAGAGGAAAGAACTCATGATGCATTCACTTAGCTACCTAAAAATATACTTAAATATATTAAGAAATTTATCAACACATATAAGTTTTGGGGCACTTTCCATCACTTATAAAATGTAAGCTAAAGCTACAGCAACAAATGAAAAGTTCTGAGTTGAAGCCAGTACAAAGTACCATAATATAAGCAGGAAAACATATTAACTAAATTTAAATTAATTTGCAACAACAAAATAAATGATGCTAGTTTCTGAAACAGATTTTAAAATACCGAGCCATCAAACCAAATTTCAACTTTCCTAGGCAACTATTTCTTAACTCTTTCCCCTCAAAGCAAACAAAATCTTCCCAAATTGTTTTTCATGTCATCACTTGTAATCAGGCATAGTATTATTCCAAAAATTAACATTTGTCTATACATTAATCTAGCAACCAGAGAGAAAAAATAGTGCCTGACATATGTATTTTAAAGTGTTACCTATTATTAAACTTACTTATTATATGTGCTGTCAAAGTTGGCACCGTCAGTTGAACTATTTATTTTTATTTTTTTGGTACTGGGGATCAAACTCAGGACCTTGTGCTTGCAAGGCAGGCACGGTGCCACTGAGCTAAATCCCCACCCCATTAAACTTATTTATTATGAATAGTGCGATCTTGGTATGCAACTTTAATTGATAAAAGCATTGTAGTAGAAAGGTCATGGACATTTATGGTAGCAAAACATTGTTACTTACCCACAAGTAGTACGTGAACTGAAGTGCAAAAATAGCAATGCCTTCATTATCAAAGGATCCAGCTACTGACCGAGATATATAACCTGGTACAATAGCAATAAAACAAGCAGCTAAAAGTCCTGCTCCTTGGTTCCAAAGTTCTCTGGTAAGCAGGAAAGTAGATATAGATGTAAGGCCGCTAAAAGTTGGCGCAAGGAACACACATACATCTCTTATGTGAACTGTTATGTTCAATGTATTTAAAATCCAATGGATAAGGCCAGCTGTTATCATCAACCCTGGATAAACCTAGGAAGAAAAAAAAAATGTGAAGTTTAATTATATATAAAGTGAGGGGCCCTAAAACAGAACATTAGTTCTCTAATTTGTTATTACATGTTGTTTATAGTAAAAAAGAAAGAGAAAAAAAAGACATCAAAATAGTTTGTCTTTTCTACACATCACAAATAAAATCTTTGTGGGGGTGGATAAAAAAATGAAGCTCATATATATGGATGATCCAGGCCTTTAAACCCAGGGCCTTTGCACTGAGGTATATCATCAGATCTTTTTTTTTTTGAGACTGGGTCTCACTAAATTGCCCCAGTTGGGCTTCAACTTACAATTGTCCTGCCTCTACCCCTCAGAGTAATGGGATTATAGGTGTGAGACACTATGCCAGGCACCCATTAATTCTTTTTCTCACACCTATATACTCTCTCAGTCTAACCTACCCTCAAGATTAGGACAATAACACACTCAGTTTTATTCATACCGTATGTATACAAGAGGAGAAAAGGGAGATAAAATCTAAAAAGGCACATTAGATGCAAACTTTATTTAAACTGGTACTTATAAGTGAATCTCTTTTAAATTCAAAAAATTAAAAAGGAAACAACTCTAGCTAAGAAAGTCCAATCAGCTGGTAAATTCAAAGATAATGTTTGAGACTCCTAAAAGGTTTAAAGTTTTAATATCACAAAATATGTAGGGATTGAAGGGAAATTATAAGGTAGAAGTGTTAACAGTCATATGCTTAACAAATAGTAAATAGGGCATTATTTTTGAGCTATTTCTCAGTTACTAAAATTGCAAATCAACCCTCCACCCCATGGTCTGTAACTCACTCCTCTGTTTTTTCTCTATAACATTCATCATCATTTTACATTCCATTTATTTTATGATTAACTATTAACTGCCCCCACACCCAGCAAGATAACCTGCAAAATAGAATTTTTTTTACCCACACTGAGAACAATAACTAGCACAAAGAAAATATTCAATATAAAAAAAATTCATAGAAGGATAAAGGGAAGGAAGAAAAAAGTATAATTCATTTTCATTCTTAAAAAATAAAACTTTTGTACCATTTGATACTCAATACTAGGCCCCACTATATGATTCCAATACTGAAAGAAAACGGAAATGAATTTGAAAGTACCTCTCAAGATAAGTCAATATATCTATGCAATACTGGAAACTGAACTGACACAAAAAAAGGCAAAAGAATGAGAAGTACTGGAGAAAAGAACTCAAAAACAAACCCTAACAGCAAAAAATATGTATCAAACTCAACAAGCCAGGGAATTCTCCAGATGCCAAAAATGTCAAAATTCAAAGTTAGGTACTGATGCCCCACAAGAGAAAGGAAGGGAAAATACCCCAAACAAACCATGCCCGATACAGATCTAAGAACTGGAGATCGGGAAGATTTCATCCAATACAGGAATCACATAGAAGACTTAGTTCTTGGCACAAAGTAACATACTGTTTCTGGTATTAAACTAGACAAATTCTACTCATTCATTTGCCTTCCTTCCAAAGCTTTGGGTAGGAACAAAATCCTAAAATAGAAATAAGAAACTAATTAAGATGTGTGAATGGAGGTTCAAAATTAATAACAACACTACACATAAGAAACCTCAAGCTGAGATGCAACCTGTAAAAACTTTCCAAAAGGAAGAAAAAAAAGACAAAACTTGCCTAAAACCAATGAAAACACGGAGGATTCCAACAGAGACAAGTGAGAAAGATTATAGAGATACTGTAGTCACAAATCTGAGGACACCAGGAGTCTCCAGAAAAAAACAGGTCTCCATTGAGGATGAATTCAAGATAAAAAGTTGTAAGCATGCAAGGAAACAAATTATAGTCAACAATATTAATAGGTATATAAGATCAGCACCATAAGAACTACAGGTAATAGCCTTCTACCATGCCCATTATCATTTAATTCTCTAATTTAAATCTCTAATTCACACTGAAGACGGGATAAGAAGATTTCCAAGACTACACATACAATCCTTCACTATCACAGGAGACATTCTTCTAAACACAGTGGCAACATGTACAAAATATGGATATATCCTAAGCCACAATTCAAGTCTCAATAAACTTTAAAGTACTGAAATTATATAGAGTTTCATTGAATATTGAATCACAATATATGTGAAGCACTAAAAAAAGATAACTATGAAATCCTCTTGGAAGTTAAATACAATTATAAATAACTCATAAATCAGAGGAAATAATGATGGAATGATAAAAGTATATACATATAAAAACTTGTAGAATGTTGCTGGTGCTGTGAGAAAGTTACAGCTTTAAAATGCATCCATTAATAACAAAATTATTTAGCAAATCACTTCAAAAAGTCAGAAAAGGAACATCAAAATAAACATAAGAAAATGGGAGAGAGAAAATAAATAAAACATAAAAACAAATATATAAGATAATCAATAGTTTCTTTGGATTAAGAAATTATATACAGATTTATGCCTTTTTTACCTATTCAAAATTACACCTTAAATCCAGAAATATTTTCCTTCATTCCACCTTTTTAGACCTCAGAATTCTCTATAAATTATATTCTATACCCAGGTACCTAGAATAATTTAGAGGAAACTGGGGCCTGAAAAATTAGAATTATCTGATTATACTAAATTTCTATCTCCTCCTAAAAATATATTTTTTAAATCAAATTATTACAGGAGAAAGCAAAAACACAAAATCTGAACTTCAGATACACTGTGACCGTGTATCCCTATCCAAAGTCCATTATTTGCCAGAAAAAGTGGCTAGAGTGAGACAACCCCAAAATAGGTGTGTGTGTGATGCCAGGAGGTGGTCAAGAAAAGAACTGAAGGGCTGGGGATTTGCCTGGCAACTGCAAGGTCCTGAGTTCGATCTCCGGTACAAAAAAAAAACCACCAAAAAACAATAACTGAAGAAACACTGGGTAATCAGCCACAGAAAATGCATTAGTGAACTACACAAAGCTTTCAAGAAAACTTTAGCAATTAATGATTTTTACAAATAATGATAAAACTGTACAATTAAGATAACTAATATACTTACAGTACCACCTACTATTCTTCCTAATGGATACCATGCTCTTTCATCAAACCAATTTAAAAATTCATAGAATCCATGAGACGCAAGATGATGTGTTGATCTATAGTTAAACCTATAAGAAAGAGACAAAGAAATGTTATAAAATTGCTAACCAAAAAGAAATAGCTTTTTTAAAAAATTAAATTCTGTGAACAGAGAAGTATTATCTTGCACAATACTGTTTCTCAAATTTAACAGATTAAATAATTTAAAAATATCAAAGGAATATGCTTATGCCTGTAATTACCCCTCCTCCGGCCCCAGGTGCACAGCCTAATAATGCTCAAATTAGCATTTGGCCATCATCCTGGGGTTCTGGGCAAAGAATGGTAATTTGAATGAAAAAAGCAGTTAAGGGTCCACAGAATTCACACATGACCAGAAAAGTTCATGACTGTCAAAAGAACCACTGACAGAAGATGGCATCAAAATGGAAAAAGGAATATGTGACATCATTGTCAAAAATCCTAAAACCCGAAAAATTACATAAAGAAAAACAACAGTAGCACTAAAAGCACTGAGAGAATAAACCATAATAGCACTGTAGAGCAAAAATATGTATGTCGTAAAGAGAAATTATATTTAATCTTTGAAAGACAAGGGACAAACAAGAAATGAACCAAAGAAACCAAAGGCCAAAATGCAAGCAGAAGAAAAATGCAAAGCATCCAGGGAAGTCCCAAGGATACTCTATGTTTAGTATAAAGCAGCTACAGAGCCAGGTGCGGTGGTGCAACGCCTGTAATCCCAGCACTGGGGAGGCTGAGGCAGGAGGATCTCCACAAGTTCAAGGCTAGCCTGGGCTACATAGTGAATTCAAAACTGGCCAGAACTGCTTATGGAGACCCTGTCTTAAACAAGTAACAACAACAACCATAAGGGACAAAAGAGAACCCTGGAGCAATCCACTACAAATAGATATTAGAAAAAGTCAGGCAATTGAATCCTCCCTCCCAACTATTACCAAGAAAGGAACCAGCCTATCTGAGGTAGGAGCACTAAACGTAGCAAAAGAGGTAAGAAGAGGCAGAACTATGTTGGACACAGAAGATGTACAAGAAATCTTCATACCCAAATTCAGTTTGATACATACTTCCCAACAGCCAAGTCATGACTCTCCCCTTCAATAACCACTAAAGAAAAGCTATGTAGCTCCTAGACAGACTTTCCACAACCAAAAAATTAAACATTTGATAAAGTAAGCACCATGAAAGCTAACCAACAAAGTTAGCAAATAGAACATAGGAACAGAAACAAGATTATCTTTATTTAGAGGGCTCTACAAGCCAAAGTAGCCTGAGAGAAAGTATAACCTAGAGGTTAAGAGTATGGGTTTTAGAATCATAGTGCCTGGGCTTGGATCTTAGTTCTTTATATACTTACTAGCTATGAGACTTTGGTTGAACAAGTTACTTATGCTCTATGTGCTCTAGCTGCTTCATCTGTAAAACACGGATAACAATAGCACCTGTATCATAAGGCAGCTATGAGTAAACAACATAGTGTCTCTGAAACACTTAAGAGGCTACTGCTACTACAGTAATTTCATTAATTATAATTAATGAAATAGACATGATAAAATACCCACTTGAAATCCTAAATGGCAAAATTATGATTGTTGAGATATACAAAATCAAAGCTGAACAGTATAGAGGACAAAAGAGCAAATTTTAACAAAATAGAAAGTATTATGAAAAGTTAGGCAATCTAAGAAAAACCTAAAAGTTCTTAACACTCATCTCAAAAGAATCATTAAGGGCTACAGAGGACTGGGGGACGGGGGGCTCAAACACAACCCAATAAATTCCAAAATGCTAAAGATAAAGTGCAATTTTAAATCATTCATTCAGAGAAATAAAAGGCATTTCTATAAAGGACTAACTAAACAGATCATATTTCTCAGTGGGAACAGCCAAATGCTATAAAGCACTGGAGTAACATATTTAAAATTTCTGAGAGAAAAGGATTTTAAAATCAGAATTTTAAAGTAAAACCTTGTTAGCAGCAACACAGACGACTAAGATAATGCTAAAAATGCTACTCCCACAATAAGTTTTCACATGAGCTGAATTTTAAAAAAGAAATACCTACTCAAATGCCAGAAACAAAGTATTTATTGTACTCACAAAGCCAGGACTATGCAAAGTCTGTGTAATAACAGGAGATAGAAAACAATATACTCACCACATCGAAGTGACAGGATTTTTTTCTTCTCATGGGAAAAAGACTCCCATAAAAACAAAAAAAACTAACCCAATTTTTGTACTTTGTGTCATGCAAAGTCTAAATTTATAAGGAATCCCCAAGCCATGAAATTATCATTGAAAACAAGACTCAAACACCTAGATTAGCAATACAAACAAAAACCAAAATGGTCCAGAGATACCTAGATGATCTCATAAATAACAATTAAATTGCACAGGGAAGAGATTCACCATAGCAAAGTAAGTACAAAGAGTAATACTCCCAAAACAAGTTGAAGAAACCATAAATCTAGGTGTTACCTTTGAGATTTCCTTCTCATTTCTTATACACAAATAGTAACAAGGCTATCACTTCTAAATATCTCTACAACTTGTCCATTATTTTTCTACTTTGCTACTAGTACTCTAATCAAGCTACCATCTTTTAAAATAAAAACCACTGAATCACCTTTCATCTATTCTGATTCCCTGCTGATTTCCTAATTTGTGTACCATGTCACAAGAAAAGTCTTTTCAAAACGCAATTGTGATCATACTGCAACTCTCTATTCAAACTATTCAAATGTTTCATCTCAACATTATTAAAGAAACCTCTACTTCTTCATATAATAGTTGAGACCACATATAGTGTAGCTCTTACTTCACTCTACAGTCTTACCTCCTACCATACTACTTCTCTACTTCACACATACCCATCTTTCAGTCCTCCAGATTCATCTCATTCCCTCCTGCTACACAATCTTTAGAATGCTATTCCCCTATGCCTGGATTCATTGTTGTTAGCCTTTTAGCTTGGTTAACTTACCCTTCAAACTTCAGCACTTTTCTAGGGGATGCTGTACAGAACAGGTTCAGTGTACTTTTCTTTCTAGTACTAGACACAAATGTAATTACGCATTTGTTTACTTGATTAATTCCCCCACGAAGATAACACTGAGTCTCCGGTGCCTAGCACCGCAGCTAGTTCAGCCCCGATTCCATCAATATGTGTTTTGAGATATGATCTATATACTTTCTCAGACCCAATACCAACATTAAGTGGTCTTCTCAAAGTTAAAGACCAACTTAACTACACTTCCTGATACACAACCCTGAAAACAATTAAAAATTAAACCAAACAACTACAATTCTAATTGAAAACCTAAGGTATCTTAACAACTGAAGAGAAATGGAAGTAGAATGTTTAGTCCTAATTTATCCTTAGAATTAAGTCTATTCTAGTATGCAATTTTTTTAAGCATCCACAACTTCTTTGCAGATTCCTACATACCATTTCTCTTTCCCTGTAGTAAATTAATTCCTTCCTGAATTGTCATTCATTTCTCTACTATACTTTCCTGCCCAGTTTCTAACCCACCACAATATTCATAATGACCTCATGGCCTTTACACCTCATCTGAAAATGAAGTCAAGACTGTAACAGGCAACACATTCTTATTTCACTTGGCCTTATCAATACACTAGCAGTTTGGTTTTTTTGTTGTTGTTGTTGTTAAATTCTTTTATCGGTACATTTTAGGTATACAACACAATTACATTTCTCATTGGGAATTGT